GTACCTTTCAAGTACTAACGCATACGTGCGCTACATCTTCTCGTGATGCTGGTTCAAGTTCTTAACATCCAGATCACGCTTAGATCGATTCCCGATCTCCAGCTCAGCAGAATCAGTGGTGAGTCCTCATTCTCCGAGGACAATAGTCATGAGTTTCTTTTCAGTATTTTTAGTCTTTAGTTTCAGTTTTGCTAGATCTAGTTGGGCCATGTCCCAACATTTCTAGTCAGTTTAGAGGCTTATTTCAAACATAGTTAGATTCAACTTAGTATTGAGTTAATATCTTCTTTGTATTAAACTCACCAGTTATCATTTATATCAGTTATAGTATATGGGTATTCCCTATCTTTTCATTTTTATTTATGATTTAGGTTCCGCATTAGTTTATTATCTTTAGTATGCTCATGATCATGCCAACAGGGTTAGCTTGGGATCACTTGTGGTCCTAGGTCCCGTGTCTGCGTCTCGGGGGTATCTCGGGGAGTGACAAAAATGATGTACGGGCTTTTCCCAGATTCATTGTTATGTACTAAATTGCTTTGAGACAATGTATAGATTTCTGTCTTTCTCTATAAAACTGTGATATATTGAAAGTGTATTTTAATCTCTTTATTCTATTTCTTGTATGATGAAAGCTAAGTGGCTTGTATGGGGCCTCTCGGGATCTTATATGCCATGTTACACCTAGGGGCTACCTTGGGTCGTAACAGTAGTTTAGAAGAATCAGTTGGGATAAAATGAGTATTCGACTTCTAGCTAGTTTGTCTTGGTATTTGGTTGCTTGTTGTGTACCATGTTATTTGGTACTCACTCCGTTCTTCTACACTTGCGTAGGTTTTGAGATCAGTACTATGTTATATCTCTTTTTGTTTTTCCATTCTGAGGCTTGTTGAAGGACTTTGGGAGGTAGCTGTTTGTCATCCCGGTGAGCCCTCCTTTTCTTTTTGTTATATTTTTATATTTGAGAAACAAAGACATTGTGACTTGTAGTTATTATTTCCGCACTTTATGCTTTAGTGTCTTGGACACATGACAAGCAGGTTTTGGGGTATAGTAGCAAGAATAAGTTTTCCGCTTTTATCTTGTTCTTGCTTTATCTTTCTATATTTCTTTTCTTTTATTGGGTTAAGGATGACTTGTCTTGATGGGAATAGACAAGTGTTATCAAGTCTATTTTTGGGCTGTGACACAAACCCAATTTGGTTTGATAAACTTTGAGAAAAATGATATGAGATGTTAGTAGAGATTTTGAACAATAATCTATGCCCGTCAACGGGGAATAAAATAATAAACAAAAGGGCAAAGGATTGATCGAAAACTGAAAATAGTCACATACCTAAATTGCACAGTAAAGGTTGTGTACATATTTTAAAGAAAGATGATGTGAATAACATGTCACTTTGGATTAAGTGACATCTTAACTTGTCTTTTCAAAGGCAGGCGACCCAACTTTAACTTAACATGCCACGTAGAAGGAGGTGACAACCCAATGTGTCTCATTAAAGGCAGATGATCCCACTTGAACTTGATATGTCACTTAGAGAGAGGTGACAACCCAATGTATGTATTGAAAGGTAAACGACCCAATTTGAATATTGTACGTCACTTTGAATGAGGTGACAACTAACTTGAAATAATATGTCACTTTGAACGAGGTGACAACTCAATGAATCTATTTGAAACGTGGACGACCAAATTTAACTATAACATGTCCCTTGAAGGGAGGTGACAACCAAACGTGTCTCTTTGAAAGGCGGACAATCCAATTTTAATATACATATCACTATGAATGAAATGTCAACCCAGCGTGTCTGTTGAAAGTCAAATGACCCAATCGAAAATATGATACGTCACTTTCAATGACCACTTGAATATAAAATGTCCCTTTTAATGAGGTGGTAACCCAACATGTCTTTTGAAAGGAAGATGATGAGTCCACAAATTGGACTTACTTAGGGTTATATTTTAATAAATATTGTGTGCTCAAATGCTCATTTAGTCTAAATATCTGATGAAAACACTTAAGTTTCAGGTATTCGAAGTTTTAGTGGAAGCATGGACACTTAGGCGGAAAAAGGAACTAAAGAGGCTGAAAAGAATGAAGAAGCAGAAGCCTGAGCATCGCCAAGCATGTTTGGCGATTCGCCGAAAGGACACACTCCGCCCTTTGTTCTAGTACGCGAAGCCCTGATGGAGCAGGATAAAAAAGGCGATGAAAGGAGCAGTCGGCGCTTCGTTGATCAGTTCCGCAAAGCAGAAGTATACCGGCCAATGATCCAGAACGCACAAATGCTGAAGGCAAAGCACATACGACGATGAACTAGAAGAAGGGCGAATCGCCGAATCATTCGGCGTTCGCGACTAACCTCGCCGAGCGATCCGCTAACACTATTTTATGAAGTCTATAAATACTAAACTCTTTACTAGTTTTGAAGGGAGAGAGAGGAGAGTCTGAACATTATTGTAAGTTTTACTTTACCTTTCGTAATTTCTCTCAAGTTTTGGAGAGGGTTTTGAAAACTCGAAGAATAGTAGGGTTCATCTTTTTCAATTTGGAAGTCGGTCTTTTGGATTCTACACTCCTTGCCTAAATTGAGACTTAAATATTCATACCTATTTGATTTCAACATCATTGAAGGGATAAATTTCTATTTCTTCATGTGTGGCTAAAAACCCCAATTCTTGGGGTGTGATTTCGCGAATATGGGTTAAGATTGTTGTTGGGTCTTGCTTGCTGATAGATTAGATGTAGTTTAATGGTGATTTTGTCTAGTAGTTGTGGTTGAATCTAACAAATTTGTAGTTGCACATACAAGTTTATTCATGTGTTTTCGGCTTGCTCGAGACATATGTCACGAAACTAAGACTACTAGATTAATGGCCTAAGGATTGTGTTAAGATGAGTTTCAGCTCGAGAGAGTGAACCCTAGTCCCATATCCTAACACTCAGCTTGAGCGAGTGAGTGGGGTAAGGCGTAGGCTGGTCTTCATGCGGCAAGTGGGTGTCCGAGAGGAACCCATTTGAAACGGGGTAAGTTGCTCGAGTGAGAGTTTATTCCCACGTATAGCTTAGCCTAGTCACTATTACTCTATAAATTTTCTATCGAAATGTACCCAATAATTTAGATTAACCTATATTCCAGTCACATCCCAAGAATCTAAATTGAAGCTTAGTATCAACACTAGATGGACACAAATCAATCATGCAAGAAAATCATTTTTTTCATCAATAGGATCAACTAGTGTTGGTACTTATTCTTAATAAATATATTTCTAAATTTAAAGCTAAGTGTCAACGCTAGATGGACACAAATCGATCTTGCAAGAGAATCTATTTTGTCATCAATAGGATCAACTAGTGTTGGCACTTATGCTTAACAAAAACATTATTCCTAAATTAAAGCTTAGTATCAACACTAGATGGACACAAATCAATATTGCAAGAAAATCAATTTTTTCAACAATAGGATCAACTAGTATTGGTACTTATGCTTAACAAATATATTTTTAAGCTTAAAGCTAGGTGTCAACACTAGATGGACAAAAATCGATCTTGGAAGAAAATCAATTTTGTCATCAGTAGGATCAACTAATGTTGGTACTTAGGCTAAACAAACGCATAATCACTTAATTTAAAGCTAAGTGTCACCCCTCAATGGACACAAATAAATTATCACAAAATTAAAGCTAAGTATCAATACTATATGGACATAAACACATTATAGAAAACAATTGTACTTTAACTTTAGAAATTTAGAAACACCTAACCTTACCTCCTGCTTTGATGAAAGAAGCAGTATAGTCTTGTGTCAACTTTTTTAGATGTTGGGCTTCCTCAGTTGCCTAGCACGAAAAGAAACAATTCAAAAAAAATTCAGTGGTCATTATAGAAAGATTTCAGTCATTATAATATTTCAAAAATGGCTCAGACAATTTTTTGTAAGTTTTCAAATTTAATTTATTTACACGCCGAATCCAACCTCTTTCAAATTAAATGCTTCATTTTTTCCATATTATTTAGTAAAATATAAAACACATAAAGAGGTTAAAGGGGTTTAATATCTACTATACATCTATAAAATTTATTTTAGCCATGTATAAAGGTGTAATGTTCATCCCCTATTCATAATCTACTATACATATATAAATTTATTTTAACCATGCATAATGGTGTAATTTTTTTCCACGTTCATAATGAACACATTCCTATTTTATTTTTTAGTTAAGCAAGAATAAAATATTATATAGTAAATATGTTCATAATTATCATATTCCCTATTTCTTTTCAAATAGCAAAAATGAAAACAATTGAACTGCCCTGTTTCTTTTCAAATAAGTACTAAAAATGAATTTTCGAAAATTAAAAACTTACCTAAGTTTGCTACTGCTACCGTCTACAGATGTTGCCACCGTCTGTGTGTTGTTGTCGATGTCTGTTGGTACGACGCTCAGTCCTGGTGTTGTTGCGGCATCTGCAACTATTGTTGTTGCGCCGTTTGCAACTGTTGCCACCGTCTACTAGTGCGGCACTGCAACCTCCTTATGTTGTTGAAGCGTGGAGATGGTGGCGCTGCCGCCTCCTGCTGGTCGGAGATGGTGGCATGGCTGGCGACGATCGTAGATAGGTGGGAGAGGTGAGAGAGGTTAAGGAGTGAGAGATGTGACGTAGGGTTTTGAGAGAAAAGGGAAATAATTATCATTCTTTTTTAAAAGAAGTATTAATTAACTGACTACGAGATGTTAGTATCTTTTAAAATAATTATCTATATTTAAAAATATTTAATAAATACCGGCATCATGAAGTCAATATTATTTTTTAAAAATACCAATTTAAATATACTGACTACTTGAGGTTGGTATTTATTAATTTTTTTTCGTATCTATAATTGTATTACCAGATTTTAAAATATGTACAAATTTGAAGCTTAGGATATGGACATAATCCCAAGTCTCAAGGCCCATCACATTTGCCTTGTCCAGGCTCTATGATAGAAATTCTACTATGGATAAAATTTTAGTTTATGCATTGCACTAGCCAGTCTAGGATTCATGCAACTTCTACAGTGAATTTCCTGAATGATTTGCTTTATAATTTCCTCTATGCTCCTCTCCCTTTGCTGAAAAATTCTGTAATTGTTGTCTTGCCATATGTAATAAAGAGCTGCAACTAATGTCATTCTATACACTTCATCTTGTACTATTTTCCTATTAGCATGCATTGTAGCCCATTCTATCTCTTCATTCCACCCTGCACTGCTTTTGGTAATGGACAACCAGCGAAGTAATCTTTGCCATATCACATTTGCCACACTGCATGCAAAAAATAGGTGTTGGTGTATTTCAGGTTCTGCTTTGCACATTGAGAAAATTGAATCAGTGTTTATCCCCCATTTGTCTAGCCTATCTTTTGTGTACAATATCCTTTGTATAGCCAAATATAGGATGAATGTCCATTTAGGACTGCCTTGATTATTGCATATCATTCTTCGCCATGGCACCTTGCTTAACTCACCTCTAAGTTTTTTGTATATGTCCTTAATTGTGAATGTTTCTTCCTCCATAACCTCTGTTACATGTAATCCTGCTTCTGATATCCAATGCCCTGCCTGTAGGATTTTCCTCACAACCCAAGAAGCTTGTTTTGCTTGCACTTCCCATGGTCTCCTATCTTTGATATAGTAAGTATGGACCCATACAATCCATAACTTATCCTTTTTCTTAGACAGGTCCCGCATCTATTTGAGTATTGCTACTTTATTCCACACATAAACATCTGTAATATTCAGTCCACCAGCAACCTTTGGCCAACATAATTTATCCCATGCTACAAGAGCTTTCCCTTTAGTTTGTGCATCATCATTCCATAGGAATCTCTTGCATATAGTTTCTACCTGCTACAACACTTTCTTTGGAAGGAGAAATATTTGTGCCCAGAATGCTTGAATGGATGTTAATATACTTTGTACCAACTGGAGCCTCCCTGAATAAGATAAAAACTTCATTGTCCATGTGTTTATTCTTCCCAGTATCCTGTCTAGTAAAGGCTGACATTGTCTTATTAACTGTTTTTTGGAGCTTAAAGGGACTCCAAGATACCTAAAAGGTAACTTGCCTTTTGTGAATCCTGTATGTTGTAGTATCAGTTATTGATCTTGCTCTGACACTCCACCAAAATACACACAACTCTTGGCCTGATTTTCTATTAAACCTGAGACTTGTGAAAACTGCTAAAAACATTCATAAAGGAGGACAGTTGATTGTACATCTCTTATGCTGAACAAAAGGAGATCATCAGCAAAACTCAATTGTATAATTTGTTGCTTATGGCATCTTAGATGGAACTTGAATTTGTTGTTAGCCCTCAATGCCTTCAATAATCTAGTGAGATACTCCATGGCCAAAACAAACAGATATGGGAATACAGGATTCCCTTTTATTACCCCTTTTTTTGCTTGGAATGGTCTGGTGGGACATCCATTTATCAATATAGAATAGGATCTTTTCTTAACACATCTCATAATCCATGTTATAAATTGTGCAGGTATCTGCAAACCAAATAGAACCTCTTCAAGGAAATGCCATTCCAAAGAGTCGTAGGCCTTCTGCATATCAATTTTAAACATGCATCCAGGTGAAATCCCTTTCCTTCCATACCCCTTAACTATTTCATGACTTAGTATCACATTACATTCAGCATTCTTCCAAGTACAAAAGCAGCCTGACGAGGATCCACAAGATAATTCATTACTCCTTGTAATCTATGTGTAATGCTGGAGACAATGCGACCAAGAAAAGCCACATATCTCAACCAAACTCACATTTGCTAAACTTTGCAAAGAATTGTTGGTCCTTGAGGATTTGCAACACAATCCTTAAATGATTGGTATGCTCATCTTCACTCCTTGAGTAAATTAAAATGTCGTCGATAAAGACAATTACAAACATATCAAGGTATTGTCTAAACACCCTATTAATTAAATACATATATGTAGTCGGAACATTTTTCAACCCGATAGAGATCACCAAAAACTCATAGTGAGCATATCGAGTTTGAAAAGCCATCTTTGGAATGCCATCTTCCTTCACCCTCAATTGGTGATAACCCGACCGGAGGTCAATCTTAGGGAAGTAACTTGCTCCCTGAAGATGATCAAGCAAGTCTTATATCCTTCTAAGAGGATACTTATTATTAATGGTGACCGTGTTCAAATGATAGTAGTCAATACACGTACGAAGTGAACCATTTTTTTTATGAACAAAAAAAATTGAAGCACCTCATGAGGAGATACTCGGTCGGATGAAACCCTTATCTAACAAGTCTTTCAATTTTTCTTTCAATTCCTTAAGTTTTGTTAGAGCTATTGGTAAGGAGGAATATATATAGGCTACGTATCTGGGAGTAGGTTTAGACCGATGTCTATTACTCTTTCAGGAGAAACATCGGGTGAATCACCGGGAAACACTTCCACAAACTCATTAACAAAATGGATTGACTCAAGAGTAGGACTTTCAAAATCCTCATCGCTCACCCTAAGTAGGAATTATATGCAACCTTTAGAAATCATATTTTTAGCTTTAAGACAAGAAACAGACTGACCTTTCGGCATATAATTTCCCTATTTTCATTCTAGGATGGGCTTATTTGGAAACTGAAACTGACCACTCGGGTACTACAATCAATAGAATAATAAAAAGAATGCAACCAATCCATACCAAGGATAATCTAACATATCAAGCTCTAGAAGATCAACATGAGTAACTCTAAGGGATAAAGAGACAACACAATTAGATTCACCAACAGGATTAGAGACAGAAAAATATGGTCTAACAACACATCTGAAAGAATACCAAACCTTAGAACCACATATGGTGTCACAAAAGACAAGGTATCACGGGATCAAGCAATGCATAAACATCAAGATGAAAGATTTTCAACATATCGATAACCACATCGAAGAACCCTCTTGCTCATGACGAGTTTGAAGTGCATAAAACCTATTTTTCTTTGGAGCATTTGAACTCGAACCACTAAGTGGAGCTTGTCTACCTTCTGTTCCCTTACCCGTAAGGTATGGATAATCACTTAACTTGTGACCACTCTTACCGTAACCAAAGCAACCATCCATACCGTCTAAGTATTTAACCTCATGCTTCTTTTCACATTTAGTAGAAGTAGTCGATCAAGACCCATTACCATTTTCTCCTTGAGGCTTTGGGTTAGACACCCTATCTTTGTTGAACTTGGGAGCCGGAGCATTGGAGGATCCTTGTCCTAAAAACCTTTTTCAAAACATAGAACGACCATGTCCATGAGACCTTGAATGTGAAAAGTGACCATCACCAGTCCTTGACCTCTTTACTTCCCTAGATTTCTCCTTAAGTTTCTTTTCTTCTATTTATTGAGCATGTACCATTATATGATAAATGGCCATATCATTGATGATCATGGAGGTACGACATTCTTTGACTACCATCTTGGACACTCCAGAAACAAACAAACTTACTCATTCTTACCCTAGGATCGACAACCATAGTAGGAGCATACATAGACAACTGTGTGAATCTTAAAGCATATTCTTTCACACTCATACTTACTTGATGAAGGGTAATGAACTCAAGTACCTTTTCCTCCCTCATCTCATGGATAAATAACTTATCAAGTAAAGCAACCTTAAATTTTTCCCAATCAAGAGGACCCGCAATACCACCCTCTCTTCTTTACATTGGTTGAACCAAACTTGATCTGTCACTCCCCGAAGCTACCCCCAAGACGCAGACACAGGACCTAGGATTACGAGTGAACCAAAGCTAATCTTGTTGGCATATTATATGCATACTTAAAGATTTAATGAAATAGAAATATTGTGCGGAAGCATAAACATGAGGTAAACTGAAATGATGGGGAATACCCATTTCCATCTTAGCTAATAATCTGTGAGTTTAATGACAACTGAAATATCAAACTCCAAAGCTAAAATTGAATCTAACTATGTCTGTAATAAAGCCTCTAACTTACTAGAGATGCTGGGACATGCCCCAGCTAAATCTAGCAAAATTGAAACTAAAAGACTGAAAATGGAAAGATAATCATATCAATTGTCCTCAAAGAATGAGGACTCAGCACTGATGCTGTTGAACTGGAGATTGGGAACCGATCTATGCCTGATCTGAATGCTGAGGACCTGAACCTACATCATGAGAAAATGTAGTGCAGAGTATGCGTCAGTACTTGAAAGGTACTGAGCATGTAGGATAGAATAAAGTAGAACAATAAACATAACTGAACAAGGCATAAAGCTGAGCAATGATAAAAGATGAGCATGATACAATAAAGAAAACACTGAACATGAACTAACTGAGTGTAATGACCAAGTTTATGACATGCTAAAACTGAATACTGAACTGTAACTGATAACCTGATCAATACACTAGAATCTGTCTGTGGGAGCTACATATAACCGACATAAAACCAGATGAGCTAAATGTGGACTACGATGTATATGCCCCATCGAGAGGACCCAATATACCCTGCCAGAGGTATAGAGGCATGACTTGCGTGATCACTAAAACTGATGCCCACATAGGGGACTTAACCTACGGGGGCATGTAGTTCTGGGAATATGAGGGTAACTGACCCTAGTCCAACTCGGTATAAAGCCTACTCCCAACTGAATATGTGAAATTTATAACATACTGAAATAAACTGGATAGCTCAATAATCTGACATGCAATTATAAAAATTCAACATTAATGTACTGATAATGAAACATTCGAAAACTGAGGCATGTATATCTATTTATCTGTCCTAGCTAATATAATTCATGAACTAAAAGAACTACATAACTAGAGTTCTGAGTTTATGCAAGAATCCACGCAAAAACAATAATTAAGACATGATAATCTTATTAGGAACGTTAACATAACTGGATCATAGTAATTTGCTGAATATCAAGAAACCCTAAGTCTAACATGTTGTAGAGAATCAAGAATCTGACTGAATTCTAAGGACCTAATGGGTGAAAGGAATCCACTAGTGAAATCCCACATACCTGGTGACGAAATTCATGAAGAAATCTTTGGATTACGAGGCTGGAAGTGATGAAAACCGTGCTACATTTTCTTGGAGGGTTGCTCGGCTTCTCTCTCTAATTTGCTCTAAGTTTCTCTTGATTTTGGTGAATGATAGATTAGGGTAAGTTCTAATGAAGTTATTAGGCTAAAACTGATTAAAACCACGTAGTTTAGATGTCCAATGCATAGGGGAAAAGACCAAAACGACCCTACTTAAAAATTTGATGCAGTTGACCACGGGTTGACTAATGGTCTGTGGACTAACCCACGGTCCGTCCTGTCAACCGTGGACCTGCTTCAGAGAGAGGTTGTCGAGGGGTTCTGATCCACGGACCAAGGCCATGGCCCGTGGTCTGACCATGGGTCGACACTTAGACGTTTTCCTGAGCTGATTCTGGGGAGGGCTTCCACGGGTGCAACCAGGGTTCGTCGTCAGGACCACGACCCGTGGTCTGACATCTGAGCCAGGTGCTCTCTGCATGTCGACCACGACCCGTGGTCTAACATCTGAGCCAGGTGGTCTCTGCGAGTCGACCACGAGTGCCAGTACGGTCCGTGAGGTGTTCCACGGCCTGTGAAGGGTCACGTGGTCAATCTCTGCTGAGAAGGGGCTTAGTCCATAGTCAGGTCAATGGACCCTGGTCCCTCTAACAGTCCTTGAACC